AAGGCTATGGTGCCTTGTGGGCGTGGGGAGGAAGAATGAGTTGTCACCTGTGTTTTCCTATTTGGTAAGTGCCTTGCTGTGCAAATACAGCGCAGAGGAAGGGATCAGTGGCCTCAGCATTGGGGGCATAGCCTTGTTACAGTCATCTTGCCAGCTCTCAAGGTGTGCAAAGTGGAAAGTGTACATGATATTACATGGCCTGAGTGCCCATGTTTTGTAAGGTTAGAATGAAGGAAACTTGAGAAGCATGCCACCCCTCTCCTAGGGGGCAGTGGCCAGCCTTCTACAGATGGGCCCAGTGCCACCACTGTGCACACTGCCAAAAACAACTGGATGCAAGGAAAGAACAATTGTCCACGGCTCATAAAAACTCCCAGACCACATTGTTTATATATTCCCGAAGTCTGCTTGCTTGATTTCTGTCCCAGCCCAGTGATGAAACTGTTAGGAGGTTCCAATCTGAAAATAACCCCCAAACCTGTTCTCCATCAGTTGCACTTTCATCAGCAAATAAGTAATACATCAGAGTGCAAAGGAGCAAAAAGGGATAAAGACCGTACTTTCAGTAGTCAGCTTCCCAACACATTATTGTCATGTTGACACACACAGTAACACACAAGTTTGGTAGCCTGGCCTCACTTGTTTCAGGGCTAACACCTAAAGTTTATTGCCACTTGTCTCGTGTGTGCCAACTGCTGGCTAAAGTCATTGCCTCAGCACGGGAACCAGGTCAGGGGGCTGGCCTGGTGGGGGTTATTGTGCGTCACCCGACTAGGCTGCAGCTCCCACTGGTTTATGTGAGGGCTGAGTGTGTGCTGGGCAGAACCAAGCTGGACTGCAACACCCATTGGTTCCAATGGAAGTCAGGGCTGGAAAGAGAACCGACCCAGCAATTACAACCAGCAGCTAATTGGGGCTATGGACTGTACCAGGCCCTGTACTTGCCAAGTACACACAAGAATCTGGTCTGGGAACACCTCAGATGAGGTTTCTTTGGGAACCACCCCCCAACTGACCGCTGGACTCAGAACTCTAATGGATTGCAAGTGCTAGAACTGAGCCTCTTAAGAGGCTCAGACAGAGCAGTGGACAGCATAACCAGGTGCACATGGAGGATATGGCAGTACATTTGAACCTGAAGAGGATACCTGGCACCACAACAGAGGACAGAACAAATCAATCAACTACCCCAGCCATGTGTTGGCAGTGAAAATCTGGGAAAAGAAAGACTCTGAGGTGTACTATGTCAATCAGTGGATTCTGCAGTGACCTCATCGTGCTTAAAATGGTGAGATTGGCAGCAATTCATAACTGTTGAACTATCAAAACCATTTGAGCAAGACCCTCAGAGCATGTACCACATTAGGGACCTGGGATAGCTGGGAGACTGGATGTGGCTTCTTCCTTTATCTCCCCCTTTACGCCAGATACAGGAAAGAAATGTGTGGAAATAATAGTCTTTTAAAAATAATAAAATAAATAAATAAAGGCATTGCCTCCCTGGGAGCAGAGATCAAGGAGTGGTGGGTGGGTGGGAGACTGGGTGGGGCTTCTCCCTTAAAATCCCCTTTTACATCAGATATATTAAGGAAACAGTACGGAACTAATTGTCTTACCCATCTTCCTGTAGTGCTTGAACCTTTTTACCCTAATTGTGTCAAGATTGTCAAAAATAATAAATTAATTTTTAAAAGAAGGAGTGGTGACTGGGCTGTCACTTCCTGACCTCCTGCAGACCTCTGCCCCATGTGGCACATTCCATTCTCTCCTTTGCCTGTGATCCCACTGCCTCCAAATCACCCTAGGAGAGCAAGAAGTTAGATATTTAAGCATGATTTTAAACTATTCTTCAAAATGGTCCATATGAAGTAATGTGTTCAGATGCAAGGGTATCATCTCAGGTTGTCCCTAATACTGTATTTTGTGTCTTTATCCTATTCATGGGCCATTCCTCAGCAATAGATTTTAGCCTAGATCTGTTTCTTTCCCTTTAAGTAATAAGACATATCTCCATTAACATCAGTGGAATGGAACTAGTTTGCTATTTCTAGTCACTTCCTTCCACTGTAGCTGTATGAACAGGCCTTTTTTCAAAATACCATTTTCATGGGTCATTAGTTTTGTGTGTGATTCTCCACCTCCCACACCTTCTTGTGTTTTTCCATTATCAGAGACGGTCTTGCTAAGAACAAAAGGTAAATAACCATGCAGACTTGTGGTCACGGCTTTGAGAACATGCAGCTTCACAGTAGTCCTTGAATATTTGCCTTCTGAGTATGATGAGTCAGTTTCAGTGGCTCCTTAAAATGGACAGGCAAGACCAGCTTCTCAAGATGGAGGATACGCCAGCATCTAGGGAGCCTCTATCCCTTATCATCACATTGGCTAGCAGGTACTATGGACACTTGGCTTACTGTGGTCTCCATTTGGAGCTGTTACCACTGATGCCAGCTAATGCATCAGCAATGGGTTCCTGGGATGACCCATGATGAGTGCAGAAAGTCCCCCAGTATATTGAAGTAGCCCTGCCCCGGAGTTCAGGGCCCACTAGAGGGATGGGACTCTCCAGGGGACCCCATACAACAGTTCAAGAGACCTCCACAAACCTCAGCCACCTCCACCTCTCCTGAACTTGTCTGAATTTCCCAGTTAACAATGGGTCATATACTAGGTGATGGCCCTTTGTGTTGACCAACTTCTATTGCTACTTAATCATCAACTTCTTGTTTGTGCCTTTTCTACAAAGTTAAAGTACAGATATTTGAACATAGGACCAAGTCTTGTAGGAAAGAAGTCAAAAAAGTTCATAGAAAATAGAATTTCAAGTTAGGCTTACTTTGGCTGGGGGTACCCATGCTGGCCCAGGCTTTCTGCTGGGAATCCTGACTCCCCATCCACCACTGCTAGGCTTGATGGAAGGGTCCTGGGCTTGTGGATGCGCCAACCGACACCAGGATCTACCTGCTGGCTACCTGGTGGCAAGCTCTGTGGTCTTGGGCATATGGAATTACTGCCTAGGCATATCCATGGATACACACACAAGAATCAGGTCTGGGATCACCTCAGATGAGGGTTCTTTGGGAACCACCACCCCCCCAGCTGACCGCTGGACTCAGAACACCAACCATGGAGGACATTGATGGTTCCATGGTCTGACTATGGAAAGCATGTGTCAAAGCTGGGCCTCCTCAGTGGTTTCAATGGAGCAGTGGACAGCATATCCAGATGTATGTGGAGGATATGGCAGTACACTGGAGCCTGCAGAGGATACCTGGTACCATAATAGAAGATGGAGAACAAATCAATCAACTACCCCAAGCAAAGAATTGGCAGTGAATATCTGGTCAAATGGAGACTCTGAGCTGGATTATGTCAGCCAGTAGTCTGGTGAGATTTCATCGTGACTGGAATGGCAGGATTGGCAGCAATACAGAACTGTTGAACTATCAAAATCACTTTAGCAAGACCCTTGGAGCATGCCCCACATCGGGGACCTGGGATGGCTGGGAGGCTGGGTGTGGCTCCTCCCCTTATTTCTCACCAGGAAGCCCATGACCAAAGCTCTCCTCTGATTCCTACACCTGATTGATAGACCTGCTTCCACTTCCTTTCGGGGCAGGAGTACTTGCAAGAACCTGGAGGATGCTTGGTTGGACAGAAAGGGTGAGGAGCCTAGACTGAGCACCAGAAAATCTAATCCATTTGCATCTGAAAAAGCCAATTGGCCCTAGGCAGCATATTGCTAATTGTCTAAACTGCCACATGGTTGTGCAAGCTGTGCAGAAACTCCATGTTTTCAGTGTGTATGAGAGAGAACAGATGAACGGCCAATGGCAGGTGACTTGGCACCTAAAGAGTTCCTGGGAGAGAAGACAGCTGCACTGGAGGGAAGAAGCAGCCACATCGCCAAGTCATGCAGCTGCTTCAGCCGTTCCCACGAAAGCCAATTGCTTTAGCTCTGTAATTCCCCCATTCTCTGGGGACTGGAGCTGATTTCTCATGAAGACCATTGCCCTTGTGTGTGGCATCATTCTAAAAGCAGGCATGGCCTGACAACTTGAAGTCCCAAGGAGAAGCAAGGATGATTGAGCAAAAATAAGAGCTACTCTTAATATATTTTTTGACATTGGCAGTGAAGGGGACACTGGTTTGGTTACCCCATGGCCAGGGAGGAGGGGAGGTTGTGCGAGGGGCCAGGTGGCATAATGACTCAATGACTAAAACTTTGCCTTGCAAGCGCCAGGATCCCATGTAGGTGCTAGTTTGTGTACTGGCTACTCCACTTCCCATCCAGCTCCCTGCTTGTGGCCTGGGAAAGCAGTAGAGGATGGCTCAAAGTCTGGAGACTCTACACCCATTTGTGAGACCTGGAAGAAATCCCTGGCTCCTGATTCCTGGCTCAGGCTCAGCTCAGTTCTAGCTGTTACAGCCACCTTGGGACTGAACCAGTGGATGGAAACTCTTTCTGTCTCTCCTTCTCTCTCTAAATCTGCCTTCCCAATAAATATAAATAAAATGGTTTTTTAAAAAGAAAAAGAACTTTGAGTTAGAGCAGTGCCCTGTTTCTGATGCCATGACTAGTCAGAAAATGAGCCTGCTGTTCAAGTGAGCGGCGAGAAAGATCAGGACACTCCATGCAGAGAAACTCTCCACAGGACTGATTGGAAGGGAAATTAATAGGCTGCCTATTGTTTGTGCGTGCTTTTGCCAGGATATTTCATTAGTGTAAACACTAAACCCGTTGTCATCTTGTTCAGCCACTTGACCCCGGTGATTTTCAGTTCCACCTCTGCCCATGATGAAGTACAACGGTGGCACACCGGAGACAGGCACTAATTATTGCAAGCGGAATCACTGCTGACCCAGTACGAGATTAACTGCTCCTTTGCAGGCTTGATTCCGGGATGTTAGCACTGTCTGCTTATCTTGCTTCAGTTGAGAGGTTCAGGACAAAAGCCCTGCTGATGGTAATGTTGGCAATTTCCCTGTTTGTTTTGCAGGTCACAGCCAGGGGCTTTGGGCCGCTGTTACAGTTTGCCTACACCGCCAAGCTGTTACTCAGCAGAGAAAACATCCGTGAGGTCATCCGCTGCGCTGAGTTCCTGCGCATGCACAACCTGGAGGACTCCTGCTTCAGCTTCCTGCAGACCCAGCTCCTGAGCAGCGACGATGGCCTGTTTGTGTGCCGCAAGGACACTGCGTGTCCACGCCCACACGAAGCCCGTGAGAATTCAGCTGGGGAAGAGGAGGAGGAGGAAGAAGAAACGATGGATTCTGAGACAGCCAAGACGGCTTGCCCCAGGGACCAGATGCTTCCAGACCCGATCAGGTTTGAGGCCACTACCACCATCCCAGGAGCCACGAAGGCAGAAAGGTTGCTGGTCGAGTCTGATGTAACCACAGACACCAAGGAGCGCTCCGAGAAGGATGCTCGAACACAGTACCCCAGGTACAAGAAGTACCAGCTTGCATGTACCAAGAATGTCTACAATGCATCATCTCACAGTACCTCAGGTTTTGCAAGCACATTGAGTGAAAACTCTGGCAGCAGCCTCAAGCCTGGGCTGGCCATGGGGCAGATCAAAAGCGAGCCACCTAGCGAGGAGAATGAGGAAGTCACGCTCTGCCTGTCCGGAGATGAGCCTGACATCAAGGACAGAGTAGTGGACGTGGAGATGGAGCGCAAGCAGCCCAGCCCCTCCCCGATCCCCAGCGTCCCCACCACCATTGCCGCAGCCACCACCACCACCACAGGAGCCACCACCTGCCTGGACAGGGCCCGGAGCGTGGCCTCACCATCCTGCTTAAGGTCTCTGTTCGCTATCACAAAAGGTGTAGAGTTGGCTGGGCTGCCCAGCACATCTCAGCAGCACTTTGCCAGCCCTTTTGACAAGGGGATCACTCAGGGTGACCTTAAAACAGACTACGCCCCCTTTGCAGGGAATTACAGCCATCCCCCTGCGGGCCCAAAGGACTCGTCAGCTGCCTTTGCCATGGGGTCGCCCCTCAGGGGCCCTGGCCTGGAGCCCCTGTGCAAGCAGGAGGGCGAGCTGGACCGAAGGAGTGTCATCTTCTCCTCCAGTGCATGTGACCAGGGGAGCACCGTGGTACATCAGTATTCTGGGGTGAGCAGTTTGGACAAGGAGCTCTCGGAGCCTGTGCCAAAAGGCCTGTGGATGGGAGCTGGCCAGTCCCTGACCACCTCCCAGGCATACTCCCACGGTGGGCTGCTGGCTGACCACCTACCAGGAAGGATGCGGCCCAACACCAGCTGCCCAGTGCCCATCAAAGTATGCCCCCGCTCACCTCCACTGGAGACCAGGACCCGAACTTCCAGCTCCTGCTCCTCCTACTCCTATGCAGAGGACGGCAGCGGGGGCTCACCCTGCAGCCTGCCCCTCTGTGAGTTTTCCTCCTCACCCTGTTCCCAGGGAGCCAGATTCCCTGCCGCGGACCATCAGGAGCCAAGCCTGATGGGAGATGGGGTGTACAACCAGGTGCGGCCCCAAATCAAATGTGAGCAGTCTTATGGAACCAACTCCAGCGACGAATCTGGATCGTTCTCGGAAGCAGACAGTGAGTCGTGTCCTGTGCAGGACAGGGGCCAGGAGGTAGGGAACACACCTGAATCCTAGTGTGTGACCCCTTTCTCTCATTCCTTGACTCTGCTTGTCCTTGCCACCCACTGCCAGTTCCAGATTGTTCTTGTGTGCCTGGATTCAAGGGGACCTGAAGGCACATGTCTCCCCCATGCTTGGAGAAGGCAAGGTACTTCCCAATGATCCGTTCTTGTCCTTAAGAGGCACTTGATATTTGATCTAGATTTCAGTATTCCATACCAGGAAGCAAGGTACTCAGTGAGGAAAAAAAATAAAACGAAGCCAATACATAAAGAGCACTCAGCATTTGAGATCTCTCCTCCCTGCCCACCTCCTCTCCATCTGCCTTAAAAGGCTGGCATACTCACCCTCACCCTTGAACCCTTTGCTTAAGAGGGAGAATAAGCATCTCCTTCAGAAGTGATTGAAACCAGATAGAGCCCCACTAAAAACGTGCTTGGCTGGCCCCAGGGCAGTTTTTGTGGTCAGTACAAAGCCCCAGCACCCCCTCCCCGCCCACATGTCCATCATGCTGCAGGTGCTGGGCTGCCTGCCATCACTCGCTGTCCCAAGGTCACTGCAGAAGCCCCTCATCAGCCCCCTAGTCACACATTAACTGGATGATGAATTTCCCAAGCTCTGACTAATGCATTTCCTAGAAGTCATTTTGAGCAGTCGGGGGAGTAGACTAGCACTCCTGTCCACCCTGGAAGCAACATGCTTTATGGATGACAATTCCCAGAGGCTCCATCCACATCTGCCCTCACTGGGGAGGGGGCAGGAGCAGCAGCAAGCACAGCGTCAGCAAGATTTCAGGTGACTCAAGAGAGAGAATGAGTGATGTAAGCATTGCCATAGAAGATTGCACGCTATCTCCCTCATGCCCTGGCCCCTGCGTTCTGTTGCCTCGGTGTATTAGTCAGCTTCTCATGACTTGAAAAGACCCGAGAGGAGCTTCTTGGAAAGGGGAATAATTCTTGCAGCTTGCAGTGTAAAAGGTCACAGTTCAGAATCTCACCAGCCCTTTAGTCTGGTGCTGGCAGCTGGCAGTGGTGGGATGGGTCCACAGGAGTCCTCATGTGGGGAGGCAGGAGGCAGAGCACAAAACTAGGCTCAGCTGAGCTGAAGTGAGGAGCCCTTGGGGCCAGTGCAGTGGCATAGCAGGCTAATCCTCTGCGGTGGTGCTGGCTTCACATAGGGGGTCCCAGCTGCTCCACTTCTGATGCAGCGCCCTGCTTGTGGCCTGGGAAAGCAGTAGAGAATGGTTCAAATCCTTGGGACCCTGCACCCATGTAGGGGACCTGGAAGAAGCCCCTGGCTCCAGGCTTCAAATTAGTCCCACTCTTCTCATTGCAGGCACTTGGGGAGTGATTCAGCAGATGGAAAATTCATTGTCTGCCTCCCTCCCTGTATCTTTCTCTGTCTAACTCTGACTTTCAAGTAAAATAAATTTCAGGGAAAAAAAAGTCACCAACCCTCCCAGGAGAGCTACTGTCAGAGGGCAACTGAAGACCCCAGTGGCAGGCTATCTCCCACCACACTCGGCTATCAGGTGTCCTGATGAGATCAAGTCTCCATGCTTAATGCATCAATCCTTAACATAAACACTTCAGGATTTAAACACCTACTTGAATTGGGGTATCAACCCTTAACATGAACACTTTAGGGTCTAAACATCTACTTAAGTTGGGGGAGCCAAGCTTTCTGTCCAGTCCATAACGCCTGCCGATGGTCAAGAACTAACTGAGACAGCCACTGATGTCCCAGGAATGTAAGAGTACAAGAGTGAGTGACAGGTCACTCCTCAGAGCTGTATATCCAAAAAGCACAGGAACCACAGATGTGCCAGGCAAGTACACTCGGCAGTCATCTGCTCAGCCTGGGTTCTCCTCCTTCGAGAGGCAGAGGACATTCACCTAGGCCGACAGCAGAAATGCCGCACATGGTAAGTGGATTTTCACTGGGCCATGTACAGTTTATTCCACCGCTGCATGAGTGGCATGAAGCACATGAGGTTTTAGTTCAGGTGTGTTTTGAAGCCGAGTCTAGAGCTCCCCATGGCACTAGGGTCACTTCCTGTTCTTTGAGGGTCAATCAGATCTATGCTCCCTGTCACTTCCCTGCTGGAAGTGGAAAAAGACTGAAAATCCCTGAAGGGCTTTGAAGGACCTGAAGGAACATGTGAAGGAGTTGGAATGGGAGCTGTTCTGTTTTGAGACACCACATCCCTTTGGCATGTGGGTAGCACCCTGAGCCAGGTGCACTGCTGGGTCCTTGACCCCAAGAAGATTGTGATTTCATGGAAGGTTGTGCCCTCTGCCTGTTCAGTCGTTCTTTCCCTCCAACCACAATGTTTATGAGATTTGCTTTTGCTCCCTGAAACTGTTAGTAAGTGAGCCTGATAAGACAACTCAGGACTGGGTCCAGCTCACCCACATGATGAATTGACATTATCAAGGATAGTGTAGTGGTAAGAGGACCAACTCCAGCCTTTGCCTTTTCTTCTCCCTTAAGAGAGTTTCCCACCCTCTGTTCAGTTCAAGGTTGTGTTTGTATGACACATGCATATAATCAAGCACTGTCAATTGCACATATGTCTCCTTTTGTCCTTGTACTGTAGAGCTTACAGTCACCTTCCAGGACTCAGTGCCATCAACAACACTTGGGTTCTCCTCTCTTCAGACACATCAGTTGTTTGCTTTAGAACTGAAAGTGGTGATTCAGTTCAAGGAAGGACTCATTTAACCTTCAAATTAGTTACAAATAGGACAAGTCTCCCCCTCAAAAATACTCCAACTTTTTTAAGATTGTTTCTAATGTTTAACAAAAAAGAAAGAGAAATCTCTTGTTTGCCTTTTTAAACAATGAGAAGGGAAACATTAATCGAAGCTCTAAACCATTTGGGGAGGCACAGGCAAAGAGGACAGTTTGGAGCATATAGCTTCAGTATAGCTAGGGTCTTCCTTAGTTTGACACGTCACCTTTCCAAGAGTGGAGGAGATTGGGTTGTCCCAGAGTTGTCTCAGTGGCTTGGCTTGACTTGGCCTCTGGGCATCGGTAACTTGCTGTTGAGAGTCATGTGGACCCTGGTGGAACTGTCATCCCCAGATGTGACGCTAAGAGACTAACCCTTCCACACATGAGTCATAACCAGAAGAGGCCTGTCCCAGCCCATCACTAATCTAATCTCTCTCCGTGCTCCTCTGAAAGGAGCACAAGTGTTAGATCACAGGAAAATATTAGCACAGTCAACATTCTGTAGGATACTATGATTTTTCCATGTCAGTAGTTCTTCCTTCTCATAAACATTGACTTCTCCCATCCTTTTCCCCTGACTTTATAGCACAGCTTAAGTCAGAACAATGCTGTCTCTTATTAATAATCAAAAAGCTCTATTCTTAATAAAATACAGTAATTCCAGCCCTAATATGCCAAAGTTAATAGACTTTCCCTGTGCCTAAAATAATACTTAATAGGTCTTCAAAAAGCTTGTGAGAAATACATATTAGAAAAAACTGCATAGGTTTCAAAAACTTTTTGCACCAAAACACATTTTTTAGAATATTTATTTGCTTGGGGCCAGCACTGTGTCTCAACAGGTTTACCCTCCACCTTCTAGCGCCAGCATCCCATCTGGTTCCCAGTTCATGTCCCAGCTGCTCCATTTCCTGATCAAGCTCCCTGTTTGTGGCCTGGAAAAGCAGTGGAGGATGGCCTACGTCTTTGGGACCCTGCACCCACATGGAAGACCCTGAGGAAGCTCTTGGCTCCTGGCATCAGATCAACTCAGCTCCATCTATTGTAGTCATTTGGGAAATGAACCAGCAAATAGAAAATCTTTCTGTCTCTCCTTTCTGTAAATGAATCTTTCCAATAACAATGAATACATCTTTTTAAAAACATTTTTATTTCCTTATTTTTAAAATAGAAAGACACACAAAGGCAGAGATCCTCCACTTGCTGATTCACTTCCCAAATGCCTCCTACACTTAAGGCTGGGCCGGGCCAGGCCAAAGTCTACTGAGGTCTCCTATCCTGGTGCCAGGTTCCATGTATTTCAGTTGTCACCTGCTCCCTCCCCTACTGCTTTAGTTGGAAGCTGCAAGCAGGAAAAGAGCTGGGACCTGAACCCACACCCTGCAGTAGGAAATGAAGGCAACCCATACAGCATCTTACTCATTGCCCAAAACACCAGCCCCGGTTCATCTCCAATTCTATTTTCCACAGACTTATTTTTAGAAGATTTATTTATTTTTATTAGAAGGCAGATTTAGAAAGAGAAACAGAAACAAAGATCTTCCATCCACTAATTCATTCCCAAGTGGCTACAATAGCCATTGCTGAACCCATCCAGAGTCAGGATCCCCTTGTGAGTCTCCCCACGTGGGCTCAGGGTCCCTAGGCTTTGGGCCATCCTCAACTACTTTTCCAGGACACTAACAGGAAGCTGATTGATAAGTGGAGCAGCTGGGACATTAACCGACACCCATACGGGATTCTGGCACTTGAAGGGGAAGGATTGAGCCATTTTGACAGAACCCCCATATACACAGAGACTTTTAAAGTACCCTCATGCAAGTCCACATTAATGTGCTTAGGAGTTTGGGTTTTATTTTTATGGCATCATTCTGTGTAATTACTCAGCAGCTACCTTTTCTTTTTTGCCCTTCACACTGCTGTCTCCTGCATACAGGCTTTCAGGCAGATCCCACAGGGCTAACACGTGCGCTTTGTGGGGTCATCATAAATCATGATTTATTCAGCTATTGTCTGTCAGCAGACATTCCAGTTGTGCCCAGTTTTTCCCTCTTATTAACATTCCTGCAATAAACATTTTGTGAAATATTGCTAGCGCTAGTGTTTTTATTTTTGTAGATTTGAGTCTTATAAGTGAAATAAAGGCTGTGCCCATTTATTAAACAGCACCTAATTAATTACCCTTCCAAAAGGTTATAGCAACTTGCATTTCCAGTAGCAATTTGGGAGTGTCCATCTCTGCCTGTTTAAGAATA